TTTTTTTTTTTTTTTTTTTTTTTTTTTAAGCATTTCCCAGCGGCCTCCATCTATTGGTGGGGAGCAGCCCCTGTTCAACCAATTCAAATACCTGTAGAAGCTTTTTTTTCCCTGTTTAATGAAAAAGCTGCCTTCTCCTTATAGCGGAACAGCCATACATTGTTCTCTCACTTCACATATCTTTTAACTGGAGTGTGATGCTCCCCACCAATAGATGGAGCCTTCCCAGGTGTTAGCGGTGTCTGCTCTTACCAGCACCACTAGTACCCGGGGGGCGATGTTTTATTAAAAAAAAAAAAAAGAAAAAAAAAAGAACTTTTAACTGACGTTCTGCGAAGTCATGGGAGATTTCCAATTCCGGCTCTTTCCTATAGTAGACCAACTCTTTAGCTCCTTTTTTTTACTTGCTAGATTAGGAAATGTAATTTCCTGTGGTTGTTTGTTAACACTACGATTTTCTTTGACTTTTCATTGAGCTGTCACAGGGGAGGGGCTGCACCTCATGAAGCAGGTTGGGGACCTAACGTCCCCTGAATCTGGAACCTGTACCATTCTATTTCTGGCCTTGGGTACTGGGCCCTAATAAAAAGATGACAATGTTGTTGTTAAAAAAAAAAAAAAAAGGAACATATCGTTCTTTTCATTACCTTCCACTACAGTAACTCCTAAGGCTATACAGGGGACCCCAGCCTAGCTCAATTGGTTAGGCACGCAAGTGGCATTCAGGAGGTCGTGGGTTCGATCCCCATCATGATGGCCGCCTGTAGCGTTCTTGGCGCCAACCAGCTGAGATAGTCAGCTGGATCCTCCCAGTCGGTATAAGTAAGGTCTTCAGCCAACACGGGTGTGAGTGTGTGTGTGAGTGTGTGGGAGAGTGTTGGCTATAGACACTACTGTTACTCGATGGGGGGTGGGGGAAGATGAAAAAGGGAGGCACAGTAACTACTGGCAAATGCTCGGACGTTGTGTTAGCTGGGCCCCCACTGGCGGCCCCAACCCTGCGCCTTAAACGCTAGGGCAAAGGGGCAAAGGGGCAAAAGTGTCGTTACCCCTCTCCACCGAGAGTGTATGTAGTTTTTTTTCCCCTTCCTTTCTTTCTTGTTTTTTAAACGAAGCTATATTCTTTTCTCAATTTCACCTTTTATTATTCACTACTCCTAATCATATACAGGGGACACCTGCAAGCATACTAGCTATCTCTCACAATTAAGGGGATGCACGTTGGCCCCCGCCCTAACCAGCGGTGGTCAGGGAATAGGGTGGGGTACGGCTAAGACAGAGACTCAGCATTTTGCCAGTAGTTGCGCCTCCCATCTACTTCCCCCACCCCCCATTGAGTAGCAGCAGTCTCTAAGGTCAACTTGCTCCCACACACCACACACAATCCACTCATGGTCACAATCACACCCCTGTTGGTCATAGACCCTACTAATACCGATCAGGAGTATGACAGATGGTTGGCACTAAGTGCGCCGCAGGCGCTCGTGAGACTCAAACCCACAACCTCCTGAATGCCACGTGCAAGTCTAACCAACTGAGCTCGGCTGCTGGGCCCAAGTCTAGATTATGAAGCCTGGAAGCGGGCCCGGTGTCCCATACAAGAGGGGACAACCACTGGGCCTGGGCAAGGCACTCTGGACGAGCCCAACCTCGGTCTCCTGAAACAAAAACAAAGATCCCCACTGAGCCCGTTGGCTGTGAGTAACAGCTGCGTAGGGAATGGAGGTTAACTAAAGAAATCAGACACAGCCAACGACCAAGCCTGTTCAGAAGCCTGAGCAAGCCCACCTGTTCGCGATGGGCCTGAACTACCATGTTAACCGTCGCGGCATTTTCTTTTCAAGCGGGGAAAGGTACTGGGGGCTTAAGATATACGTGCTTGGGTAATCCTGTCCACCGAAACAACGAAAACAAGAAAGGGGAAACTACGCGGGAGTCACAAAAATGAGTTATAATTGCACTACGGGCCAAGATACAGTTTCAAATTGAAGGTCGGGCAATGTATACAACCCATCTTTCTGGCCAGGTAGGGTGCCCGAACTGCAATTGCAAACTGTATATTGCCCCATAGTGCAATTATAACTCGTTTTTGTGACTCTACAGAAGTTACCCCTCCCAAAAATCCTGTTTTTCTACTTTTCAAACTTTTCATAATGTGGTTACACTCCGATCTATTGGTGGAAAAATAGAGGTTTTCTTCATATCGGGAATTCAAAACAAAATAAACAAGGTTTGGGGACCCTGGCTCACTACTCACCAGACTTATACTTTGGTAAGGTCAGAGTTGCTGCACTTCCTCACCAATGCATTGTCAGATCTTTGTCAGAATGTGCGGGCTCATCAAAACATGAAGAAGTCCCCGCCTGTGACTCGTGGTTTTGGTAGGAGATCGCGGGTACCTCCTCCACAGGACCTCAGGCTGGTGGGTCTCATCCAGTCAGGCTGGCTGCTGAAAGACACCCCTTATGGCTTCAAGTTGGCATCCACCCTCTAAAACACCCCGGACTTTTCTATTGAAAAAAACAAAAAAAGGAGTTCATGGGCACCCACAACCACAAGATTGTGAGGTTGCCAGGGGCGAGGTCCCACAAGCAAAAAGGATTGGATGAAGCTCCTGAATTTGGACGTGTTTTCAGCAGAGGTGCAGTTGGTGAGGTTGCCAGGGGCAAGGTCCCACTAGCAAAGAGGATTGGAAGTGTTTTCAGCACAGGTGTAGAAAAGCAGATGAATCTCGATCTCCTGCACCTTTCCACAACCACGTCCAGATTCAGACATTCACTCCAAACTCGATCTGTGGGTGGCCAAATGGTAATTGGCGCCAAATTTCCTCCCATTTGAGTGGTGTGGGTGTTTGGGTTGGACCCCTTTCTCTCTATAGGGCTATGTAACACCCTCGGCGGCGGACAGGCGCGGCTAAGACCGCGGCCGCGGCCGAGTCCGTGACCCCGCGGACGCGTGGCGGCCGCTGGGGAAGGGGGGTTAGGAATCGGGAAGCGCCACGTGGCGGCGCAACCCCAGCCCCACCCCATCAGGCAAAAAAAAACGAAAAAAATCAATTTTTTGGTTGGGGGGGTAAGGGCGAAATCGAAGAAAATAGAAAAAAAAAACGCATTTTTTTTTTATTTTTTTTTTCCGTTGATTAATTGATTGATTGATTGATTGATTGATTGGTTGCGGTGGGGTCGCCCCGCCCCCCTTTGATTGATTGATTGATTCGATTTTGCTTTTTTTTTTTTTTGATTGGTTA